AGAAAAGATAGGACTGCTTTCAGTTTGTTGTTGTTGTTGTTGTTACTGATTGAAATCTTTTTATTTCCCCAGAAACAAGACATGTGCAAAGAAAGAAAAATACTTTCTTGCTATGTGGAATATTTCTTTCTTTCTTTTTTTTCTGGGTGGAGCCCATAGGAATAATTTTGGGGGAGGATGCAGGGAACATATCCCTCCTGGTATTTCAAAGTTTCCCCTTTGTCCCCTCCAACATTTGTCTAATGTGTTGTGGTGCCTGCAAGATAAAAGCAGCAAGCACGTGCAGAATAGAAAATCCTCTCTGTATTTATTTGGGAGTACGTGTTTTGAAGCTTTGATCATCAGCGATGAGAATGGAAGTTCCACAAGGCACCCTCTTTTTTCTTCTGTGTCCTCATGAAGTTGCTTTCACCTGATCCCTAGTCCACACCTGAGACCGCTATGAATCATCCTCCACTTACCGGAGATGTGCTTCACTGATCACTTGGACCATGGTGTGCTGAGGTTGTCCTCTAAGGCAGTGTTTCTCAACCTTGGCAATGTTAAGATGTGTGGACTTCAACTCCCAGAATTCCCAGAAAACATCTTGATGTTTTCAAGTTTGAGAAACACTGCTCTAGGGGGTGTGACCAGTTCAGTAGTGTTAGCCTCTTTAGGCTGGTGTGGCCACATTCCCCCCCCCCAATTTTCTGGGCACTTATCAGCTGTTGTTCAACATGCTTTTGAACACAGGCACTTCACTGGAATGGTGCTAAGTCTGTGTCCAGAGGGAGTCCAACTATTAGCTGAACTCAGCAGGTAATCAGGCTCATTTTGAACACACCACACAAAAACATGTGTGCAAAACCAGAGGGAGTTTTGATAGGTGGCTCAATCTGCTGGTCTAGACATCTGTCAAAACTTGTCTCTTACCCATCCCCCATCTCATGTTAAGGTGAGTGATGGTTGGTGACATTTGGTGAAAGAAGAGGGAAGCAACTGGGGCAATCTATAAATCCCTGTCCTTAATATGCTTTGCACACCATAAATAAGAACACTACCATTTGTTGGCACTGTCCCTGTGGGATAGTAAATGGGGGGAGCAGTAAATTGTACGTCACTGTGGTTTTCTGTTGGTTCAAAGACCGGTGGAGAGCATTTTAACTCAGTTGCAAGAAAGAGCACTATGTCCTTCCTACTTAGGAAATAATGGGTTCTGATAGTAACAATCTTTGTCCATTTATATTTCCACTTTGTTCTTCTTCCTCAGCTTGGTAATTCTTGATCCTTGTCACATCTTATTACTTTGCAAACTAAAGGCAGGGTTTCACACAATGACCATAACTTAAGTGTTATTGTTGTTTCGAACACAGAGGTTTATTTCTGTTGTTCAAAATGAAAGAATTTGGGTCTTAACTATCCATCAGTCTCTGCTGAGGCATTCACCATTTTCCATTCTGTTCCAGTAAATAGTAATATACTTAAGAATAGCTTCCTGCTCTACTTCCTATGTAATATCTGTGGCAAATAATATATGACAAAACTTAAATTACACACTATTGTGTAGGCTTGAACTTGAACTCTTCCCAATGTCTGGTCAGACTTGAGATGGGTCTTCCTACAGTGATATTCTAGGTATCTTCTCTGGCTACTTCATCTCCTTGAATGCAGTGGTTCTTTGAGAGGGGAGAGGCTGCTATTGTACAATCTGATCCCTAACCACCCCCTTATTCCAGTGTGCAACCAGGGTCGTGACTGAATTGCCCACTAGATCCTTCTCTGAAAACCCACTGGATCAATTAGGCACCTGGGGAGACTTTATGCAATAGGTTCTTCCCCACTGTGGAGGAGGATCACGCTGTGAAGCTCCATACTAATCAGAGAGTGATCTGCCCATGACTAGAGGCTAAGTTTGATGCTCCTCACTTTCAGATCACTTTGTGTCTGCCATGAGACAACCATCAGATATAGGGTATGATCTCTTATGTACAGTATGTTGGGCCCTCAATAAATTGGGTCCGGTCTATGGTTCTCATGGCCATGAACCCTTGGGCCACTCCACACTCCTTGCCCAGGAAAGGCAGGTTGAAATTCCCCAACACCACCAGTTTGGGGAACTCCACCTCCACCATTATCAATTAGGTTAAGCAGGCCTGGCAGGGATGCTGCTGTGCAACAGAGGGAGCAAACTGCCCCTTCAGGCTAACCTGTCAGCTGAGCTATTTTTGGACAAAGTTTCACACTATTTCAGAACGCTGACTGACTAGTAGCTAAACAGGTCATTCCAAGCACCCACCTAGATTTGCACAGGCCCGCCCCACCCATTAGGGACAGTGATTCATATGCGTACTGTTTCCTCCTGTAATATGTTCCTGGTTCATTTTTTCCTCTAAAAGAAATAAAATAAAATAAAATAAAATAAAACAAAATGGTTTATGTTTGATGAAGGGGGAGAAGTGGGAAAATAATAATAATAATAATAATAATAATAATAATAATAATAATAAGACTCAAGGAAACCAGTTTGCTTAACTGGTTCATTAAGCAACATTTTATTCTACTTTTTTGACCTTTGGGGAAAGAGAATCTTCCAGGGCACTGAACATCCTAAAAGTGGCCCATAATTTGTGTTCAGGTAGAACAACAGCCACCACCTATGCTCAGCTTATTTAAACTAAATTGACCAAAGGGTACAATGAGAATGTGTGTGGTAATGTAAGCAATTTGCACGATGTTGGCACAACATTGACACAAGAGTGGTAGTTGTGTGGTCACAAAGGGTGAGACATGCTGCCACATGATTAAGGACACAGCAGCTACTTTTGGGCCTCTGATCACCCTAAGGAAATTCCAGAGTTGAAAGTACAGAGGGAACAATAGATGCTTAAGAATGTTATGGAATCTTCTACTGGAGTTAAGATAGAGGAAGCTAAAAACCTGTTTGTATTGCATCATATGGTGCTTGAGGATAACACAGAGGTAAGTTGTTAGAGGCTCTTCCAGAAATCATGCATGAGGTCTGTTTATATGATTGTTATGAACTGCTAACAAAATGTCTCAGTATGATGGACAGGAAGTCCATATAATCTAAAAAGGGGTGGTGGGTTGTAAAGTCTTTAGGCCAGCCTCTGACCTCACTGCCATTATTCCAGATCATAAGTGACCTGTACAATCTGCTTAAAAGCCTCCAAAAAGGGAGCACACTTATTCCAGTAGGTCATTCGTGGCATTGCTGAAGGGTTGTTAGCATCAATACATTCCATTTTATGTCCAGCTAAAACCCACTATGATGTAACTTACTGTAAGCCCATTAGCTCTTGCCCCCTTCAGATACCAGATAGTTGAGCTCCCTATTATGATTAGTTCTTGCTTTCCGGTGTGTGTAACTTCAGAAAAACACCATCCACATTTGCTCTTTGAAATGCCAGTCTATAGTAGATCCCCATATGAATGTCTTTCTCCACTTAGTTTTATTTCTCCATGTATCTATGGCTCAATTGCTTCAATTTTTGTGCAGGGATAGATGTTTAACATATAATGCTATTTCTCTCATATATGTTCTATTTAGTTACATCCTTCCACTGCTACATTCTAATTTTGGGAATCATTCCACCAAGCTTCAGGGGTCCCTATCATGTTCAATTTCCAGCAGGGGTTATAACTCATCTTCTTTCTAATGGTCTGTGCATCAGAGTATCAATATCTCTCCAGTTGTTTTCCTGGAAAATTTCTAGGTATCTACACATCCTCCTAGCTTCTCTTATAGCAGAGGTGGGGGTTTTTCCCCCCAGGTTGAGTCTGCAACCTATCTTCCTGATGGGCTAATGGACTGCAGGAAATATTCCAGTAATGTCACTGGAAGGGGTCCAGGCAAGAGTATTTTGCCCCATTTTTTCATGGTGTGGAGGGTTAAGGGTGAGAATAGATTCTTGCATCCCCATCCCTACTGTTTATGTTTTTAAGGTGAAGACTTTCTGTTGAGTTTTGGTCATAAGCTCTCAAAGCAAATGAGGGGTAGGAGTGAACTTCGCTGATGGCCCAAGAAATGAACCTTTTCTATCATCATCACTCATGTAGCCATCATTCAGCTTTAGAATTCTCTCCTTACAGTCCTCTTCTCATTTATACCCATACAAACACCCCCACCCAGGTCCATTGCCTTCCTCTTCAGAGTTTCAGTCAGACAGAATACATTCACAGTAACAACTGGAAGCATTATTCATTCCCATGCAAACTAGTGAATATGAATCATGATCAATGAGCTTGACAAGTTTTGGCAACCTGTTTACCACATCCTGGATCCATACACTGGGGGAGGGCACACATTTTAAGTCAACAAATATGATATCAACCTCTTTGATATCCCAGTAAGAAACTCCAAAATCAATATCCTTAACTTTGTCCTTGGAGGGTTGAGTTTTCTCGCCCATATATTCTTGAAACTCTTGTGAAGTACTGGGGATAAGCATTGCTTCTTCCCACATAATCTCTGATGAGAGAAGCCAGACATCCATTTCAGAAGTAGCTATGAAAGTTCCAATATTACTTTTTCTCCATGGTAGTATTAACCATTCACATGGCTGGAAGCTAAAAGCTCTCTTCTGTGGTGGGAATCACCTCCCCAACTATGTGCAAAGTTAAAATGTGTTACTTCTGGGGTCTCTGGATTCTTGGTATCACTAAGAACAATAAACTATTAGGAGATAGTTGTGGTTGAAGATTACTGGGGAAGAAACAGCGTTCTTCACTGGGTAATCTAACAGCAATTTTCAGCATATAGCAGCTTTTCCCAAATAGAACTAGAGCTTCTATGGCTTATGTTATTTGAACCAGCAGAACACTCAATCTCTACTGATTCTTATAAAGACGCTTTGCCTATCGTGGAGCACAGAAATATATTCATTAGTAAAAACAAGCATCAGTTCAGTTCAAAGGCAGCTGCTGGGATGACCCCATCGTGGCATTCAGTGAAATGACTCTGCTTTGCTGATATGGTGACACAAACACGGGGAGAGCTTTCATGTTATAAACCTTTATTTATAGATGTACAATTATATAATTAAGAAATACAGCCTTCCTGAATATCTTTCAAGACCTATGCTTTTTATTGCACATTGCTCATTCATCCCCGGCTATCTACTTAAGAAATCAAAAGCTCTGTTAGGGCCTGGGGCTCCTGCTGCCATCTGAGAAGCCGATAATTTTGTGCTGTGCAGCCAAACAAGTGACCCTTCAAAATGGCTGGAACTCAAGGGGTCATTGAACACTAATCAACAGGGATGAGCTTTCGAGGAGCCAGGGCCTGCTATCCCGGGACAGCAGACAGCGGCCTCTTTGGGACTGCAGACATATGGATTCGCCCTCCAAGGTGGCCACTTATCACAGGGAAAAGAAAACCCAGTAACTTGGTTTAAATCAATATTCACTTGTCAATGCCAAAGAAATAACACAATTATCAGACCTCCCGTCATCCACCTGAGCTCTTATTTGGTACTTGGGTAATTCTGAACAAGTCTTTAGATGGAAGTTTGCCAATTGTACAGAAAAAAGTTTCTGGACAAAACTAACAGCAACATAAAGAAGATTCCAGTGTAAAGTAATTAATGGTAACGCTGCTTACTTAGCATGACTAAGCCATCCCTTAACATATTTGGACTGAGCGCTGATTTGCTTTGATGGTGGGAGCTGATCCATGCACACAAAGGGAATGCTTCTTTGACTAACGAAAACACAAGACCCCTTGCAGGAGTGGAAGCATCTTCAGATTACTGCTAATTCAGGATGACGAGGCTTATGGGACCTAGGAGCATTAACTGTTACTCTGGTTGATGGCTCAGCTGTTTCAAGTAACTTCTCTTAAGGCTCTTCTGACAGCATTGTATGGACTTAAAAGACAAAAAAAAGTCTGGCATTTTGTACCATTTTTTTTCAAACGGAAGTTGGACTTCACAGTCCAGTCAAGTAATAAGAATGATTCTTTGCCTCTTTCAGTTGCTTAAATAATGGAAAGTACCAAAACTTCTTTTGACAAAGATGGCCTGTTCTCCTGAGGAAGGTTCTCACAAGAGTCTTTAAGCACTGTTGCTGCACAGCCTTTCCTTCTTCTAGAGAGAAGGGCCATCCAAGTCTCACCAAACAGAAGAGAAAAATATGTAGCTGCACCACTGCTTGGTAGGCCACGCCAGCGGACAGTAGTTCCTGGAATGAAATCAGCGGTAGCATTTTGTCAAGGAAAAGCTATTTTGTAGGGCAAGAGAAAATCTGACTGGGGAGCAGGGGAAAACAGACAAGGGGACATCACTTGTGGAGAAAAAAACCCTCTGTGTAGCAGAATGAACCCTGATTGCAAGGGAGAAAATGAAAAATCTGCAAAACATAAAAAAATAAAAGTCCACACAGCAAAAGCAATCCTGGTGAACTCAAGACCATTTGAGACAATTTGTTCTCCATTCTTTAGGAAGAGCAAGTGCTCTAGCAAGAAGCCCCCAATGCACTGCAAATCCAAAACTGGGCCAAAATGTGCACGTAGAAAATATATCTATTGGGCTCAGTATTTCATATTTAAAAAAGAAAACTGTTTCAAGGTCTGGGAATTTACTTTTTTTTCCCAGAAAGTCCAAGCCATTAAAAAATATAAAACATTTGTATTGTCAGATAAGATTGCCATTGATAGAAAACATGACATTGGGCCAGAAAAGGGGGTGAGGGCCTGGGTAGGGAAAAAGAGGCTAGAATTCACAGATACTGGATTATGAAGTTCAGAAGAAAAAGAAAAAGAAAAAGAAAGAAAAAGAAAAATAATGAAATAATTTAATTCTATCCCTGCATAGTTTAGAAGTACAACATATTTACAATGGTACGTTAAATTCTAAATAGTGTCTTTTAAAATTAATTTTCTTTCATTCCTACAGCTCTTCCAGTTCCTCCCTTGCTCTCTGAAGTGACTAGTGCAATTGCAGAAGACTTTCTCCACTGCGCCTGGTTTTCTGCAGACCTTGAAAGGAAATAAAAGCAATTCAACAATTGCTCTCAGGATGGCAGAATCCCGAGGAAGGGATATGACAGCAAGAGAGGGAGAAAAAAAGACCAGCCGTCTTTTTCCTCCTTGTTTTAAGAGATGTTCAAGTCTAATGCTGGACAGAGAAAGAGAGGAGAGGGCAGTAGTGCGTTGCTAATTCTCCAATGCCATTTTAATTTAAGGACTGATTCTTTAAATAGAAAGTCTGTCTCCTTGGCTCAGTGCACTTCCCCCAAAGTCTTCAGGCATTTGAAGAGTCTGAGAAGAAAAACAGCAGAAGTGTCAGTCTCTAGTCCATTACAAGGGTAACAGGACCTTCACTAAGCATGTACCTGCACTTCCATTAAAGAACAGTACACTGGACTGGCATAACTGGAAATGCTAATCAACAAGCTGAAACTTGCCTTTTTGTCATTAAACATTAAAAGAAACCTAAGAGGCAGAACAGGGGCACCGGCAGGGTAAGGTTAAAAAAAAAAAAGTCAAGATGACTAGGACTGCATTGACTGAAGACATGCCCCTTGAATGCCTATAAAAACTGGAGGGGCTTCAGTCACAAGTTGTAGCCACCATCTTGATGTTTTTGCTCCCCTTATGTGTTCAAAATAAAAGAAGTGTTTAAAAAAAAGCCACTGTGCCTTGCCTGTAGCAGCCTCAGATATCTAGTGTGCCTTAAACATAGCCTTTTAAACCTCTCTACGTTTCTAAAAAACGACTAGAGTCTTTTTCTCACTGAGGAAGGATAGCTATGGCCAGGACGGTTTGTCTGAAATTCAAGTCAAACCTGTTCCAGAAGGAAGAGGGGGGGGGGGCTGTTGGTGTGTGTGTGCTTTAGCATGGAAGACATTATGTCAAATACACCCCAGTTGTATCCTAACTCTTTCTACACCATTTTCTCACTCTAAATAAAACACATGCCATGGGAATAAAAAAAGAAAAGCTGTGTGATTAGAGACCAGTTAGTTATTAGCCTGGTTACATCTAATCAATGGTCATTGATCTGGCTCAGTTCCAGTTGGGAGGGAGGGAGGGAAGGAGGGAGGGAGGGCAGAGCCCTGACAGATTCCAGTAGAATGACTGGGTCTCATGCTGCCTAAAATCTTGCAGGCTATCTCTTCATTACAAGCTAAGCCAAAACACCCAATTAATAAGTGTGCCTAAATCACCACCTTAACCCCATTAACTAGTGGGGCTAACATCCTAGAGAGGCTATCATTTGGGGCTTTCCAAACGTGGTTTCAAAATTCCAGTCTCTGGAACCCCCCAAATAATAATTGCTGAAAATACAGTTCAAGAGCTATGCCTGTTTGGAGTAAAATGGTGACATGTGGGCATATCTTAACTTCTTGGCTTTCCCAGTTGTGTGAACACCATGTGAGTTTGGTTTAGAGATTGTTGCTGGAAGATCTTGGATTCCAATGTATGATTTTTTCACGGCTTAAAATTAATTTTTTATATTTTGATCATTGGGCCCTATGTGAATTATTTGTGGATGGTTTCACCTTAGGAAATATTCATATTAGTGGGATGATATAATGTTTATAGATTTGTAATTGTTAAGCAATCGCCCTGATGGTTCTGTTTATTATGTAATTTGGATGTTGTGAGTTTCTTTGAGGAGGACTGACCCATATTAAAGTGGCTTACAATAAACATGAAGAGGAAGGGTAGTGACAAACACAGCAGCTTCAGGTGATAAACAACTCTAATTGGAGAACTAAAGTAGTATCACTACCCTAACCCAGTGGCTGTGGCTCTCCCACTAACACTTTTTAAAAAAAAAAAAACTTTAAAGGCATTTATTTTAACTAGGCCTAAATGGAGCAGAAGATGTACTCATATCTTTGAAGCTGTTTAGTATTATTTAAATGCTTACATTTCTATGGCCAGACACCATTATTTGTAGGAAATTCTCGCCATGAAAGGGACAAATCATTGCAATTCTTTGCAATCCAAAGGAAACTACATCAGATGCCACATTTTTGGCAGGTGCAACTCCCAAGATATTCTGGTGGTTCCACCTGGCCGTGCTGAACCTGATTTCTTCTACAATTTGTAATAGCAAAATCATGTTTTAATGCTAACTCTTAAAATGAACTATAACATCATCTTCCAATTGTCTGTGATATTTGGATTAAATTGGTTTTGACTTGAAGAGATAAAGCAAACTGGCTAAGCGCATATGGATGAAGTGATTTAGTTGCTTATATCATTTTGAAGGAACACAGCACTCCACTGAGAGAGCATCTCTTTTAGCCACATTTGAAACAGAGTTTGCAAAACTGCATTCCATATTCATACCTGTCCAGGTTTTCCATCAGATTGGGTAAGAAGCACTACTGCATGAATCCACAGCTGACTGTCCATTTGGCTCTTGATATTCTAGTTTTAGCTGAAGCCACTGATGCTGAAAAGCTTTTTCAGTGAGTGCTTTTAAGAAGATGGTTGCTAATAACTGCAACAGATTCATCAGCTTCCCAATAATTCTGTTTCGCAGCAAAATTAATAATGCTCTAAGAAACGGAAAGAACATGCAGCAGGGTTTGCAGAGGGGGTTGTTGTTGTTCAGTCGTTAAGTCGTGTCCGACTCTTCGTGACCCCATGAACCATATTGCGCCAGGCCTTCCTGTCCTTGCACGAGGGGCGGGGGGCGTGGCCAAAATCAGCAAGATGGCAGACAAAGCATCACAAAGCAAGCTCTGCTCTTTTTATACGTGTGGACAATGCACACAGAAAAGGAGCGGGCCTTGCATTGCAATGCTCTATCTGCCATCTTGCTTATTTTGACAATCCCCCTCCATCCACAGACACTGCTGAGAACATGAAAAGAGCAAATATATAAGTTAACCTGAATGTCCTGGTAAAGGGATGATTGATCAAGGGCCCATGAGCATCAAGAGGAACCAGTGAGCATATAGGAGTTCATAAATTGGGTAACCTGTTACATGTTTTGTTTGATTGTGTCTTAACGTAATAGGCAAGTGGGGTCGGGTTTTAGGCAGTAAACCACTGAAACCATGATTTATGTTGGCTTTCAGGCTACATCTATGGCTTAGCATGAGGTGTAAACAGAGGCATTTAGTTTGTAATTTCTTCACTTGTTCTCAGTTTGTTTTTGCACCCAAACCAAGCATGAAACTAATTCAGAAAGATGCAAAGCAAAAGCTGTTAAGAGTGGAGAAGAAACAAACTAAGAATTCATCAAACAAGTGGGGGTTTTTTGCCTGCAAGACTGATATTTGCTTGTTCTGCAAATCCTGTTAAAACTAACCATGATTTAGCACAAAACATGAACCTAGGTTTGGATTCTAGATTATGTTGGAAAATTAGTATTCTTGAACCAAACTTCTGGGGTCCCAGAAACAGAAATCACCAGCTCTTACTTAGGTCTCCATGGACTGTTTGTTTCTGCAACAGCTATCCATGCATTGATGCTTGAACTTCAGACAGTCTGGTACAGCTGGGTGTACCCATCTTCTGTGCTCTCTGATACAGATCCGAATCGCCAAAGTAGCGTGCCCGGTACAGTAAGCCCTCCTCTGTAAAAGAAATCCAAGTCATTAAAGCAACAGTCCAGACAGCTGTAACTTTTCACTTCAGTTTGTATTGTATTTTCTGATATACTCTGTGGATTTCACTGGAGAGTGGATATGTTTACCTCATTTTGTCACATGTCATCTTGAGCAGGGATCTGTAAGGGAGGCGCCAAAAATATTTATCTGCTGCTAAACCCTGCCCCAGACGTTGTAATTATAGTTTACCTTGGGAAGAATTTCTAAAGGAGGTGAGCGCAAAGATGGAAAGCTTGGGAACTATTGTTCCTTTTGGATATTTTAAACTTGGATATGCCTCTAAGTTCAGGAAACCAGGACAACAAAATTTGTGCAGATCATAATGGTCAATAGGGCTCTGCAAAGCATTTGAAAGGAGCACTCTGCAAGACATGTTAGCACTAGTCAAACATCCTTCCTCTAAGAATAAATACAATTATATCCTCTGGAAAGCTCATGTGGTTCTTTGCAGGGTCTGTTTGTACACGTGTGCACACACAAACAACACTTGAGCTGCAACAGCTAAATTGTCAAATGCATCTAACTTGTAAAGGTGGCTACATCCTTAACTATCAATAACCCCTTTCCAACATCTCTGTGAGGCCTAGTTTACAGGGGTGGGATATAAATCGAATAAATAACAAATAAATAAACAGCAACAGTAATAATACAGAATTTCTTGAGATGCAGCATACAAAACAGCCACTTTGCCTTGACTGTGCATTTCTCTCTCTGTGTAATGTCTTAAAGCCGAGCTACTCACTCTGCTGTTTTTCTTTCCAACAGTTATTTCTGAGGTTTGCAATATAATCATCTTCCACGCTCCTTTCTACATTTTTAAGATTCGTGCCTGTATATTCTTCTGCAAAGCTGTCACCTACATAGTAAGATACTTTCAAATGTTCAGTCGTTCTTTTAAATACATGGCCAACAGTCCTGGAGGAAGGAAGGACAAAAGCAATGATCAAAATCACCCCCCCAAAAACGGAAAATTCATTTGAGTAAGGAGGTCAAAACCCCAGACCAGCCCCACCCAGCCAAAAGCAAACTCTGATATGTATGGGGACCTACCAAAGTCTCCCTTTATCCTCTGCCTCCCTGCTCCTGCAACAAAAGGGTGGTTGTCAGGCCCCCCCCTTTTTAAATATTTTTTATCCTGACTTTACTATTTTTATAAATAACTCAAGGCAGCAGACAAACTTAATACTCCTTCCTCCTTCTATTTTCCCCACAACAACAACCCTGTAAGATGAGTTGGGCTGAGAGAGAGTCTCTGGCCCAAAATCACCCAGCCAGCTTTCATGTCTAAGGCGGGACTAGAACTCACCGTCTCCTGGTTTCTAGCCTGATGCCTTCACCACTAAACCCAACTGGCTCTCACCTTTATGGATAGTCAAGATAGATTATCCATAAACTGGGCTAATGTAGATTATCCACAGGCAGAAACAATGTAAAGCTTTAAGGGCATGTGGTTTCTAGCTACTTCTAGGGAAGGGGAAATTTAATGAGGGTGGAATGAACATAACAGTGGATACTAGTGAACACAAGCTTTTGAAGAACAATAACAAATGTGATTTGGAATGGAGGAAGGAAACCGCCTCAACAATCTCTCCATTATCTCAGTGGTTTGTTCCTAGAACCCTATTTTGTCACCTCTTTCCAACATCCTTGCCCACTACTGACATCCCACAGACCTTCTGCAACCATGTTCAGTTTGGACCTCTGGTCTGCAAGCTGAAGCATGTCACCAGTTAGGAAAGGTCTGAATTAACCTACTACAGGGCTCAGAACTAAACAGATATGCTTCTGTTACATCCAATTGGTTTCCTGTGGCTGAAGCGACATGGGACCCCTTTCGCTCTTAGCTGGGCAACCCAAAAGAAACAGCCTGTGCTAACCTGAAAAGGATTGGAGCTCTCCTTATTACTTTGGAAAGAGGAAAAAAAAATTCTATTCCTGTCCATGCTGCAGGGCTAGACTAGAGTAATGAGAAGACTCCTTCTCTTATTGAAAATATTCTGTAATACTCATTTTTCAGAATGTCTAAAGGCCTTTTCCCAACGTTCTCAGCACTTGGCACGAGGAATGAGTTGTTCTTAACCGCTGCACCTATATTCAGTAAATACTTGCATTTTAATGCATTGAAGACTGTGTATAAGCCCTTTCGGATAGAAATGATAGCCTAATTAGTCTTTGCAAATCACTAATTGCTTTGTCTTAATTCTCCCCGAGTTTGTGCCCTGTGCATTTAGCAATGCCAATTATTCATTCTCTTTGCTTCAGATCAGAAACCATGTTTTTATGCAAAGCTACAGCCGCAACCTCTGGTTTCCAGCTGTCGGTATCTTGAGCACAGTATCCCTCCATTTCAGAAGAGCAAGTGCCTAACCCTTATTGTTACAGAAAAATGTCAAGATGGTGGTTGAGCTGGACGTTGCAAAGGTATTTGTTCTCAAAGAAGGAATATCTATCACTCTACATTCTATACAGTTCCATCTGTTTATTTTACTCCTATCCCATCTAATTTCAAGATGTTTAGAGTACCTTTTCTAATGGAGGAATTCCTGGTGAGTCTACTTTTTAGATATTTATGTAGAAATAGCACTTTCCTAACCTAGCCTAGCCTGTTCCATCCCATCCTACCCTACTCAATACCTTATCCTCGACCCTGCAGAGGTGGCACTCTCTCAAACAAACTGTTGCTATGTCCTGAGTAAGATAAGCATTCATAAACTTTTATATAAAACAAAAATGTATTTGTTCTTTAAAATCACACTTCTGCATCACATATGGAAGTGCTAGAGACTTCTACACATGGTGAGATTTCTAGAAACTGATTTTTGTTTTTTCCTCTGCAACAGACACTCAATCTCTGGTTGGCTGCCTATGTGTAGGCATATGTTCATACCCACCTCCCCCATTTATACCATCCAGAATGAAATACTTTTAAGCCCCTTCACCTTGTGTCATAAGACGACCTCTTTAACCCAGGACAGACATACAGTCAAGCTTCATGCATATGAATTGGAGACATGCTTATGATGGGCTTGTTTACATGGGTGATAATCTAAACAAGGATTAAAGCTATCGCTTAATGGCTGAACTCCAGCCTTTTTAGCAGCAATACATTTTCCTCTGCCAAGACAGCAGGCCAGCTAAGAATCTTCCAACAACCTTGTCTGCTGTAAACAGAGAGCTGATAAGCCAGCATTGCCCCCTGCTGGCTATCCATAGACATTGGTCTATCATCACTGCTATATTCTAGTGGCAAATGGTTGGCACAATGCATTTATGGTATATTCAGTTGCTCAGGCAGTGGATAAGATTGCTGCCAAAACGTTTGCCACTTGGTTGATGCCGCTAATTCACTTGTGATGAGCCAGCAGACTCAATCCATCTGGTTTCCCTTCAAGTCTCCACGTACTGAAGAAGGAGAGGGCATGTCCCTCTTGAACCTCAGGAACTAGAGGACTTCTGTATCTAAAGGCAAAGAGAAATACCCTGGCTTCTTCCAGACTATGACATGGAAATCTACCAAAAGCTTCTATCAAGGCTGCAGTCTTGCACAAGGGCCGATACAGTCATGCCATCAGTTGATAAAAATCTATGGAAGATCACAGCAAGACGTCGCTATGAAGAATGACTGGAGAAGGAGGGAGCTTCAAAGAACATATAGACACACACACAATTTTTTTAAAAATGCATTTAAAAGATATTCAAGTTTAAAATCCTTTATTCCAATCGTTCAGATTTTAAAATGGAAAATGCATACCTTTCTGGCGAAATATTTCTTTTTATGGATTTTTGGACAAAATTGATTGGGATAATCATCTTTCAGTTTGGGGGATTACTTTCATAGGTTCTAAATGCTGAATTCCAAAGCTGATTTGTTGACTCAGTGCTCTGAGAACTGAGTTCAGCTTTGGAATTCAACATTTAAGAAATGCAGAACTTATGAAAGTTGAATTCCAAACTGAAAGATGACTATCCCAATTTGGTTCAAAAATCCTTAAATATTTCATCAGAAAAACATGCAATTTCAATGTTAAAATCTGAACAACTAGCATAAAGGATGTCAACCTGACTATTTAAAAGTGACAATTTGAATGAATAGTTTATAATACTTTTTTTCCAAATTTCACCTTTAGAATGGTGCCACATATGGGAAGCTCACACCTAATCAACTCCCTAGTGTGTGGAATTCTTGTCCAGTCAACATTTCCTAAAATACAGTTAAGCATGGTGGCATTCAAAAGTGAAGCACAACGTACAGGGAGACTTAAATACTCCTTTATGTCCTATCAGTGATAAGCTGTCTTACCAGCAGGCCACTTGGAATGCAAGGGGAAGACCAAAATCTTTCAGCCAAAGGATGGGTGCCTCCTCTAATCCATGGGCTCCAGTGCCCACATTTCCTTCCCTTCTGGCTGATTCAATGCCAGATTGGAGAAAGACCCAAAGGAAAATCCTGCAATCAGATTATACCTAAAGGCTCCAGTTGCCAATTCATCACTGGAAAATGATAGCATGGAAAGGGTGGAAAAGCACCCACAGCCTAAATATCCAAAAATCTTGTCCTCACAGAACAAGGAGTACTTTTTCTAGGTATATCTCCTACTCTAACCTTCATCAATCATGTATATGCTTTTACATGTAAATTGTAGGACTTTTACATGTAAAGTCCTACAATTTACATGTAAAAGTATACCACATAAATGCCTGGCTGTTTTAAGCAATTTTATCCCAGCAGGCATGGTGTTAAACCAAGAAAGACAAAGAGAGGGAGATGGGGAAATATATACCAAATAAAACCAATCACTGGTAAATATATGCTTTGCTCTTAAGTCTTTCCCATAAACCCTACTGCCCAGGCTAACTGAATAATGGCTACTAACGGTCTGTGGCTCAAACTGTAAGGTGGACTGGAGACCATCATCTGGCTGAGGGCAGACACGATAATGAGAATGAGGATAGGCATCAGCTGGACAAACAGCCCAAGGCCACCCTGAGAAGAAAGAAGAGAAGATATCAGTGCATTTGCATCCTCCAAACCACTTACCATTGACAACTTTGGTTCAAAACTTGCAACTTTGGTCTCTCTGAGAAAAGGAGTGTTCTCACTAAGAGATCCATTATGGCTCAGTAGCCTACCATGTGCTTTTTTACTTTTTTCTTTTGGACATCATGTAATTCGGTCAAGATTGATTTCGTCAATACCATGTGGTTAGTCAAACCATGGCTTAGCATGGTGCATGAAGACTAGCTTCTGAAAGACCATATAGTTCCTTACCACTTCAGCAAGCACTCAAAGTACTTTGCATGTACTGGCTGTGTCTGTATTTCACACTATGCCATAGCTTATTTTAATCATGATTTGTTGAATGACCTACAATTGGCTGGGTCCACACAACTGGTAAACCAAAATCAACTTATATTATGGCTAAGCATATTGTTGAACCCAGAAACTTTCTCAACAATTCCTGCAACAATCCTCTAAGTATTAGGCACAATTCAAAATACTCTACACTTGCCCAATACAGCCTTTGACCTTCCCTGAAATCTGTTCCACAGAGACACTGATTCCTCTGGAAAAAACTGGGACGGGTGCAAGGTTCTTTAGGGTTAGTTCCATTTCCTCTGTTTCTACATGTTCCATTCTTTGTTCCAGAAGATTAACTTCTAGCACTGGACAAATCATTCCTGCCCTATCTGGACTGGAATATTCCAGGAGAAAAACAGAATGATCTGGAAATGGACCAGACCGCTTTGCATATCTCTAATGAACAATCTTCTGATAGAAATGCAGCCCTGGGTTCCACCCATGACATTTGGCTTATATTATGAATAGGCATGACTAGGATGGCAGGAGTCAAGACTTGCCTAATGCCCCTACAGAGTCTGTGGCAGAAGCCAACATTGAACAAATGACATCCTGTTTCACAGCTTTTATTTTCTGGAGGATGAGTCCAGTAATAGATACCAGTCAGGACGACTCCATGCTAACTCCAGTATCAGAGGCAGTATGTTCCTCATTACCAGGCGCTAAGGAAGATGAGTGGAAAGGCATTACTGCTCTCTTTTCTGTTTGTAGATTTCCACAAGCGACTCATGGGCACCCAATGTGCTGGGAAAAGATCTTTGCAACAAAACACAGATCATTTTCAAAACACATTTTCAAAGATACTCAGCACAATGTATTAGAAAACACAATAATGCCGTTACTTTAGTATAAGGCAGGAGTTGTACTCACATGTATCTAAACAGCAATGAAAACTTACTGCCTTTCCAAAAGCCACAGTCAACTAAAAAGCAAAAACCTAGCATCCTCCTGCACTTTTGGATTAGCAAAGGAAAAAATGAACAGACCAATAAGGACACAAGGAATACAGCAAAATATCATTTGACTGAAACAGATCTGTGCATGTTCTGAAATATTTTAATTTCTCCCTCTGCCTTGCTTCAACTTACGTCGCCTTGATGTTCTCGTCTGTCTTGCCGCTGGTGGTAGGTATATCGCATCCTGCCATTGCTATATACATGTACATTACCTATGAGTGAGAGAGACTTGTTAGGAACAGTTGAAGACTGCCTATCAGCCAACTACCATAGAGAGAAGCTGCTAATTGTTCCTCTTTTATAGTTAAGTTTAACTGGGTGCTTTCAACTGAATACAATCCAGTTTAGTACACTGTCTGTGAATTGTGGATGTTGTAGCCAACAAATTGAGGAAGGATAGTTTAGAAGGTGATAATTGATGAATGGGAGAACAGTAACTGTAGTAATAACAAAGGCAGACTGGGTTCTTTTGGGGGCGGGGGCTGTTGAAGCTTAATTGGACCTTGACTTTATAAAATGCTTAACACTCAGTTCCTGCTCATGAAGCATGGAAGTCAAATTCCACTACAATCACTGAGATTAAAGCAGTAGCCTTAGCACCATTTGACTATATTTTCCGCTCTCCAAGAAGGCTCTCAGTATCAGTTGTAAGCCTTTTGTTCAGGGAATAAAGTGGTGGTAAATGTGGTAAAAGTTATGAAGTCCAATGACTTTTATAGCTCGTTCCCCTCTCTCTCTCCCCCACCTGCTCCACCATCTGGCTGTTAAGACAAGCAGCCCCAGATGGTTGCTCTGGGCCCCCCAACTCCTTTGGCCAAAGGGTGCTGATTGCCAGGGGGGTTAATCTCACGCGGTTCTCCCTGGCGTTCCCTCCAGGTAGGCTCCACCACTCTCGGAGGCTTTCTGTTGCGGACCGAGATGCTGCAATCCCAGCGTCTTCTTCCTTTGGGCTCTCTATTAAAGGTGGAGCCTGCCAGGGAGACTCAGATAAGTATGCCCCCCATTCTCTCAGGAAACACCTTCCTCACTTCTTGAAAACCTACACACTTAGTCACTGTGTTTTATTCTTTTTCTTTTCCCTTAGCTGCTGATGCTCTCTCCCAGTTCTTGCCATTTGGACCCTGATCTCCACATCTCCTCCTTGACCCTTGCTGCACTGAAACACCAACAGGCCAGACAGAACTTGGTAAAACAAAGTTTTAATTGGTGAGTTGGGACAACCCTGTTCCTGGAAATTTCTCCCACTCAGTTATCTCTCGCAATTCTGTTGCTACAGAAGTGTTCGCATTTTAATGGACATTTAGTGCTTTCGACAGCCAAGCTAAGACATGCTGTGCAAGCTATAAATGCTTAGGAGAGAGCATAGCAACCTGCTGGGGATTGCAAGTGGAAGCCCACAAAAACTTATCAATAGGTTAGATGGCCATAAACCTGGAAAGCGGAAAATCAAAGAGTATTATCTGGACACTAGGCTTAGTTTTCAAGGTGACTCTGAAGCTTAAATCAGCACACAGCCAGAAGCTCATGGACACATGCAACTTGTGAGTTGCCAGCAATTTTGATTAGAAAAACACTCAAGAGGGGTGGAGCTCAAAAAATGCAACGCATGTTTGTGGATGCTTGGGAAGTCGAATATGAGTCTACACTGCTGTTCAACAAGTGTTCCTTTGTGGATCAGTATTGTGATGTGGGGGAACATGGGAAAATAGTTGGGTACCACTTGACAGAGCGGAACTCTTTCTCTGTGACAGTGTCGATAAAAGCTCAAGTACTGAATCCCAGTACAAAACATGAGAGTTGTTCACCAACACCAAAATAGGACATTTGCATTCTGGCTTAGATTCCACATAATAGTAAAGTTGGCAAAGACCACCGAGTCTTTTCTTCTGTTATTTCCATTGAGCTGCAGTCAGCAGCATTAGCAAATTGTTCCAAACAACTCAAGCAAACAAGCAAGCTAAGCTACATGCTAAAAGGAGGCAACTTCAACTAGACTCCACCACCCAACCAGAGTTCCAGCCAATTTTACCCAAAGATAAATGCCTTCTGGATCCCAAAGAAGATGATCACCCATCCTCCTAGGTGGGCTTTGGAGAAAGCTACCTCATGCACATGTCTTAAAGATCCAGAGTTCAAGACAGAAAGTCAGCAAGACCTTTTGCTGTTCTGAACTGATGCTCTGATAGTGAGGAATGGAACATTCCTTCCCCACAGGAAAGCACAGAACTCACCCAACAGGAATCCTTTTCTGTCTAGGGCTCCGTTCTCAGCTATAATGTATAACTATGCAACACCACCACTACTAGCCTGAAGACACTTAAGTCAGGTTACATCTATAAATAAACTTGGCAGTCTTCATTTCTCAAAGGCTGGGCCCGAGGAAAAGAACATAACTTTAAAACACCTCTCTTTTCCAAGTGCACTACTGTCATGCATCTTGACCCATGGACCCAGCAGATTCTATCTCTGATAACCAAGTGTTCTAGCAACATTGTTATTTGTCTAGCATGAGAAACTTATTAGAAAATTTCAAAGCATTATAAGCCTAGGTCAACTTCCCCCACCTGGGCAAACTTTTGGAGGGGCTGGATTATAACTCTTATCATGTCCAGCTGGACAGTCCCATGGGCTGGTTGGTGGTGGATGACAGGACACATGATATACATTTATTAAATGTATTGTCAAATTTTCATTATATTTTTAAAGAAGGAATAGTTCAAAGGGTGCCATGTCAAGGAAGGCTGGCCTAGGTCTTTCAATGAGCACTGGTCCCTCTGGCCTGACAATGATGATCTTGCCTTATCTGAGCCACACTTCCGTTTTGGTATGAGAAACCAAAGAAAAGCCCACTCAGAGGCATCCCCTTCTCTTTACAGCCTTCCCTTTGCCAACCAGACTTAACATTCAAGACTTACTAGAGGGAAAACCACCACCAAAGAACATATTGAAGAGATCTTCCGGGGAAATATCAGCCTCAAAGCCTCGGTTGAAGTCTGCAGGGCCATGTCGCGTGGAGCTGACTTTTGCATCTCCAAACTGATCATACTGCTTCCTTTTCTCTGGATTGCTCAGTACTGCATATGCATTCCCAATGGCTAAAATGTAAGAAAGAAGGAAATAGTCATATTCATTCCCCTGGCAACAGCTAATGCCTTAACAGCGATTATGAGGGAACAATGTCCAGCATCTCCCAGCTTACATTCAAATCCTTCACTCACAACATCATCTCTTTCAGCCTGTGACCTCTAGCATGCTGAAGACATTAATGGAGACTATCCTAGAGGCTAGAGGAAAAATTACTGATATATTTACGTGACATGCCTTGAGAACCTAGGAAACCATCTGAATAATAAATAATGACAACCATGTCTTTTTGTTTCCCATCCTTACTCTGAAAGCTCATTTAATCTTATGCAATAAAAGGTACAGGTAGTCCCCGGGTTAAGAACACCCAGGTTACAGATGACCCATAGTTAAGAACCGAGCCTATTAAGAACACCCAGGTTACAGATGACCCATAGTTAAGAACCGAGCCTATTAAGAACACCCAGGTTACAGATGACCCATAGTTAAGAACCGAGCCTATTGTAGTAAAATTCATGTTAAATAGACAATGATTCAAGTTAAATACATAATGGTTCAATTACACAATACTACTTATACAGTATTACACAATCATACTGTTCCGGCTTACATACAAATTCAACTTAGGGACAGACCTTGGGAATGCAACTCATTCTTAAACTGGGGACTATCTGTATTTCCAAGAGAAAAGTAGAGAAAAGAAAGACTAGATCTTCTGGTGCAGAGACTAGATCTTCTGGGCTACACTTTGGAGCTGTATTCAAATGTTCATTTTGTCACATGACCACTGCATTTATCATGTGATTAGTGGTGCACAGCACTTCTGGGCTACACTTTGGAGCTGTATTCAAATGTTCATTTTGTCACATGACCACTGCATTTATCATGTGATTAGTGGTGCACAGCAATCATACTGTTCCGGCTTACATACAAATTCAACTTAGGGACAGACCTTGGGAATGCAACTCATTCTTAAACTGGGGACTATCTGTATTTCCAAGAGAAAAGTAGAGAAAAGAAAGACTAGATCTTCTGGTGCAG